TCCCCTTCCCACATTACTCTGCAACTACTAAATTCAACTGGAATTGTTCAGGATTTTAGAACGAGGCAAAATGTGTTGGTTCTTTTCCTATCTTGATCAATGTCTGCGGAATTCCTAACCTTGAAAAATATATGCTAAAGAAGACAGGAAGAACAGAATTTCCAGTGGCTTTTTATTGCCAAAAGGTGACACTGAAAAATGTTGCATTGCTTTTTTTAGCTGTTTATTGAGACTAGTTACTAATTTAATAGTAGGGAGGCCTATAGCTGACAAATTGGGAGTTCTTGATAGAAGAATTACAGCTAGGGTTCTTGTATTATGGAAAGTCCACTCATCTTAAATAGACTACCACATTGTCTAATCTGCCCTTAATTAAAAGCTTTCACATAACTGACTGAACTGGGGTGTATTGCAGGAAACTTGCCCTGCAGTAGAGAGCAGTTTCCTCAGAGCCAGCAGCTACTTAAACCTCAAATGACTGTAGCTCACAGCAGGCCTCATATATTTCAGCAAGTAACTATGTTTTCATTTCCTTAAACCACAGGACATAAGTCTGATTTCAAATAGTGTCTGGACTGAGATATTCAGTACTGATAAAGATACAAAATTTTACAGCTTAACATTTCCAAATGTTTCTTCTATGATAAGGATTCCCTAGCTTATAAATGCTGATACTCCCTTATCCCTACTGGGCTATCTCCTAAGCCTCTAGTTTATTCACTGCCACACAATCACCAACCTATTTTGATTTGGTTATTTAGTAAGCAGAACAATATTTTCCTTTAACTTGGGGACAGGAACAAAGCCAGCCTCCAAATCAATTTATTTCCTTATTCCATTTGTATCTTTGCACATTTTTCCATGCTTTTCCTTCAGAATGCAATGACTTCTTAATTCTGCTTTGTCAAGCCCCCATTCTTCTCATTTAAATGCCTCTTAAAAACTTCTTTTTCTTGATACTTACAAGCACTTAAAAACAAAACTCCAAATAAGTCCTCTCCTCTTTCCCCCCTCAATACTGTTGTAGCTCTATAATAAGAACTTTGGAGAAGGAACGGTCTTTATTTTTGTTTTGTATAATATCCAACATAACGTCTCTGTTAAATAATTAAAATATAACATTTCCATCTAGGTACTTATATAGCCCTCATTATTATGGTATCTAAGTGACTCACATTCTTTAATGTATTTATCAACACTCCTATAATATAGGGAAATGCCCCATTTTATTTATGTATTTAAATATTTTTACCCTACCTCTCTATTTAAAATATTCGAGGCAGCTTACAAAATTTTAAACACAATACAAATATATATAAAAATGTAAAAAATTTTACAGATGGGGAACTGAGTCACAAAGACTCTAAATTGTTTGCCCCAAGACATATAGTATGTCTGTGGCAAAGCTGGCTCTTCAGAGTCCTAGGTTAGTGGACTCAGTGGGAAATCTTTCCTTTCAACATATGCCAATAATAACTACCAAACAATAGCATCCTAAGAAAAATGAAGGTATGGTGCTTTGGTCAATTTTGATATTTCAATGCAGCAGTTATATTATGCAATGATATAAGCTTTCATAATGTGGGCAGTCCATTGTAAGAAGTAGGCTTGGATCTCTCAAAAAGCATGCTTGCTATCCATCTTTAGAGCAATCAGAATATGCTGAGGCAGGAGAAACACTCGAATTTGTCACTCTATTCACCAAGTACTATAAGAAAACCATCCCCAGAGCTGTAGATTTATTCATTATTCCATTATCTCACTGTGCTTCAGATTCAAGAACTGAGAAAAATAAGTGCAAACAGAGTCACAGGAGTTTACAGACATCTAAATATCTGGAAGAAAATGTTCTGCAGACTGCTAAACAATTAAATAGATCTAGGCACCTGGTGGAGAGAAGACAGAATTTCAAAGCAGAAAATCCTACATGGAAAATGCTGTTGATTTTTAACATCAAGGAAGGCACGCTTTGCATTCTTCAGTATGGCCACAGTTGTGATCAGCAGGAGAGGGAGAATGGAGGTCTTTCATTTACCAGGTCATTTAGAACTTCATAGATTAATGTCAATACCATGAAATCCACCAAAAATTGTATTGGCAGGCAACGCAGATCACTGAGCACTGGTATAATGTGTTTCCAGTAAGAAACCCCATTTAATATATCTGCTGCTGGATTCTGCATTTCATTTTCAGTGGTCACAAAGTCCATCACACTGTTATACTAAGCATGCTACACTAATCTAATTGCTTGGTGACAAAGCACATTACACACCTTGCTGGAATGATGTGGGGTTTCATAAATGTTCGCAGTTCCATGACATCTGAATTTAACAGGCTCTATGTGCACTCTAGAGGTATGTCTAGACTACATGGCTCCATCGACGGAGTCATGTAGATTAGGTTTCTAGACATAGGGAAATGAAGGGGTGATTAATTAATCACAGCTTCATTTACATCAAAATGGCTGCCACGCTGTGCTGATAAGCTGTTTGGCAGCACAGCGTGGTAGTCTGGACACTCTGCGGTCGACAAGGGAAGCCCTTGTTGATCACCCCATTATGCCTCATGGAATGAGGAGCGTCTAGACTACTACGCTGTACCGCCAAACAGCTGATCGGCACAGCGTGGCAGCCATTTTTATGTAAATGAAGCAGCAATTATTTAAATCGACGCTTCATTTCCCTTTTTGGAGTACACTCATCTACATAGCTCCATCGACGGAGCCATGTAGTCTAGACGTACCATTGGTATATGTATTGCACCAATACAACATTTTTCTAACAAGTACTGTACGCTTTTATTTTATTCCCTGCAACGGTTTATTTGTGGAGAGCAAAACAGTAACATAGTATCACTTAGTGCCACTACTGCTCTTTGTGATATTCCTTAAAACAGACAAAGGCTAATGAAACAGGAAGATGTAACTGCTAGCAATTTGAATAGAAGGGAGTATTATTTACACATACACAAACAATCATACCCAGCTTTCCATTATGAGCTTTTCAGGGGTTTTTAGATAGTTAACATTGAATAATGCCTCAAGTTAACATTCAGCCCAGGAATTGCACAAAATACAATATTTTTGTTTCCTTTCAAACGCATTTAATTAGTTAGATATTGATATTTTATTTTGAGATATGTCATTACATATTTCTGGAGCAAAAAAAGGCACATCTTATCATGGGCTGTGGAAGAAAAGGAGAGACAACTCATTCTTAAAGTTCCCTGTGTGGCCATAATCTTCCTACTGATGTATAGGGTTCAATGTAGTACCTTCTAAGGTCCAAAGCAATCCTTTCAATCAACCAGATAGCTTAGGAGAAAGGACAATACATCTACCTTCCTTCCCATCACTACGCATACATTACCCTTGGAACACTAATTCTCTATTCAGATATCAATTATACACTACAAAAATCCCAATGCTAAAATACATGGACATATTCTTATTTTAAATAAGAACTAAGGAAAAAATAGAGCAAATAGTTACTTCCAAATTCTGTTACTGTTCATATGCTCACAGGGGAAAAAAACCCTGGATGTCATTAAGGAACCACAGGTTCAAATATCAAGATCTGCGTTTCAGCCATGTGGACGCTAATGTTTTTATGTCTTTGAGTGGTATGATGATCTGTGACTTCATAGAGCAGGGGTTATGGTTTAAAAAAAAAAAAAAGTATTCAGCACCTCCTTTTAAACTATTCTTAAATAAGGTCTCACAAAGACATGCAGTGCTGGCTTCTTGCCTTAGTGCCACGCACATGCACTATTCAGTACTATAATACTCCCACAGAGTATTTCCAGAGCATGGTGTTGGTCTACAAGAGAGGTGGGAGTAAGTACATTTTTATTACATTGTTTTTAATCTTTTTTATTATTTTATATTCTAAACTGTGATGGTCTTGATCAGAACATCATCTGATGTCCAGTTCTGGGCGCCACATTTCAAGAAAGATGTGGAGAAATTGGAAAGGGTACAGAGAAGAGCGACAAGAATGATTAAAGGTCTAGAGAACATGACCTATGAAGCCAGGCTTCATGAACTGGGCTTGTTTAGTTTGGAAAAAAGAAGATTAAGGGGGGACATGATAGCGGTTTTCAAATATCTAAAAGGGTGTCACAAGGAGGAAGGCGAAAATTTGTTCCTCTTGGTTTCTGAGGACAGGACAAGGAGTAATGGGCTTAAAGTGCAGCAGGGGAGGTTTAGATTGGACATTAGGAAAAAATTCCTAACTGTCAGGGTGGTCAAATATTGGAATAAATTGCCAAGGGAGGTGGTGGAATCTCCCTCTCTGGAGATATTTAAGAACAGGTTAGATAGACATATGTCAGGGATGGTGTAGGTGGAGCTTGGTCCTGCCTTGAGGGCGGGGGGCTGGACTCGATGACCTCTCGAGGTCCCTTCCAGTCCTATTATTCTATGATTCTATGATTCTATGATCTACTGGTGAACCACTGTTTGGAAGCAGCAATCCAAGCACTAAGAGGTGAAATGAGGGAAAGTCAAGATTAGTCATATGCAAAATGCTCCTCTTACTGTCACTATCTGAGATATTCATCACATAATCTGCTATTGGTACTGAATCCTTTTGTTCCTTTTTTGTTGTTGGTTGTTGTTGTTGTTCATGAAGGCATTTGGTGGTCCCTTTTAACTTAATTTTGGTTATCCTTTCAGCTCAAGTTTAAAGAAATAGAAGACTGGTCATTTAGCTCATCACCAAAATGATTGAATAAATAATGTATATCTTCAATAAAGCCATCATGAAATATTCTATATATTCTATAGAATGTCTTACACACTGAAACCTTTTGATTTTCATCACTTGCGTACTGTTAATAGATAGCAGAAGACATGCTATTTGCTATAATTACTGAAGTCTTTTTGGTGTTTATAAAAAATTGATAAGAATTTATAGATATATTAGCAGCAGATGATGACAATGATTGACTGTAAAAATAAATTAGACGATTTGCAAGCCCACCTTTTGTTATAAACCTACCTGCTTTTAAGTCCTGGTTGAAACGACAATATTTAGAGTGCTCAAGTGTAGGTAGACATTGCTCAATGGGTACCCAGACATATGTCTCTGGACACAATAAGTCAGATGGCCTATATTGACCCTATGAAGAAGAATGAAGAAATTAGTAGACATATCAGTTACATAAAATCCCAACTACAAGACTGAGAAGTTCACTATGTGCAAGGAATGGTTTTAATCAAGTCTGAACAAAAGGATCCAGAATCAGCTTCATCATAAACATTAAATGACCCTGTTACTGCATCATCTCAGAAACACAAGGTTGACTTTGGTATCTTTTAAAAAAAGTTTCCAAAACTAAGATATTAATCTATTTTATGATGTTCAAGATGATTACTCATAGTTTGATTTTGCTTATTGAACTCTAAACTCAGTTATCGCCTAGTCTTGCTGAGTTGATTCTGACAATAAAAAAAACTCAGCACTTCAGAAGCAGCTTATTTGAACTGTTGCTTATTCTAAAAACCAAAAGAACAGTATGACCCAACATTAAGGCATCATGTTGCCTTTTTTTATTGTGCTAGTGACGAACTATTTTGCTCTAAGCCTTTAATGAAATATTAAAATACAAAATAAGAAATGGAACATTTTTGTTAATTTAATATATTTGTCATTCCAAGAATGTTGTAAGCAGCATTAGGAAAGCCTCAGAGGCAGAATTTTTATTGAAGGAAAATCTTAAGTTTACAACGTGTTTCTAGAAATGACAAACAAAAATATTCCTTATCCTAGCAGTTGAAGAAAATCATCACCTGAGCAATAATTTGTCACTCTAATCAGTTAATTCACCCATATAAAACAAGCTTGATCTCTAAGCTATTACTTACTTTGAAACCCCGCCTTTGACCTATTATTTTAGTTACTCTCCCACACTGAATCTCCATATAGTTCGAGAAATGTGGTGACACTATCAAGCATGGCTAGTTTTCAAACAGAAAACATGTATTGTGTTGCAAAAACAAGGACATTGGTTTAAAAAGCAATAAATTAAAGAACAAATTCTAGAGACATAAGCTAGGTCTATACTAGGGGGCAACGTCAAATGAAGGTATGCAACTCCAGCTGTGTGAAAGGACAGCTGAAGTCAACATACCTTAAATTGAGTTACCCTGGCATCTCCAACTGTGGGGGATTGACAGGAGAAACTCTCTTGTTGACTCCTCTTAGTTGTCCTGATCTGATGGAATACAAGAATCAACAGGAGCACAATCAGCAGTCAATTTAGTAGGTCTTTACTAGACCTGCTAAATTGACCCCCGGGAAGATCGATCCCTGTAGCACTGATTTTTCAGTAAGTGTAGACCAGGCTATAGGATCTTAAATCCACTGCTCAGGAGAAGAATTATGACAAATCCCACTAAATGTAGCAGAATCAGAAACCTGCATCTCAAACAGTTCATTTTGCAAAATAATAAAGTCAATCAGTTGATGTTCATCATTTAGAATAGTGCTGGGCGAGAGCCTGTCAGCGGGCCACATCCAGCCCATGCGGCAGTTCCCAGCTCTGCCCCCTAAGGCGTTGCCTGGGAGCTGGAAATGCATGTGCCCTTTCAACTGCTTCTATTTAAAGGGCTCACACATTCTCCATGGCTGACAGGAAATGCATTAGCAGCCACGGGGAAGGCATGAGCCCTTTAAATAGAAGCAATTGAAGGGGCTCACAGCTCCTGGCCCCTTTAGCTAGCACATTGCCTGGGAACCACAGGGGAGGTGAGAGCCCATTCACTAGTTTCAATTTAAAGGCCCCTTCCACCTGAGGCCCCACCCCTTCTGCCGGAGGTTCCACCCCTTCTGGGGCAGCCCGTGACCACTTCAATAATTTTCGAAGTGCCCCCCTTTAAAAAAAATTATTGCCCAGCCCTGGTCTAGAATCAAAAAATGGCAGAGATTTCTCTTGAATACAGTTGTCACTAAAGAGCTGACAGAAGAACCAAAAACAGACAAATTATTGCAGCTATACTTCAGACACAACAATGTTCTTGAAAACATCTAATTCAATCAGTGTTCTGCTCCTCTACTTGAATATGCAAAATTTATGCAATGGCACATTTGATCTTGAAGAGCTGGAAGAAATGTATTTTCTGACTTTTCTGAGAAGAGTACAAATCCTCTCTTCTGCTACTAAACTACTGACAGTATTTGGATCATCTACTTTTATTACTTTCTGTTAATTGCTTCCTACCAATTACTTAAACTTTAGATATGTTAAATCAGAAATTCATACACTGTCACTGTATGATTAAAATATCAATCACCCATTTATAGTACTGATCAGTAGCTTTCATACTTAACACAGTTGGAATAAGAAACAACCTCGTAGCGAAAACAAATTGCAATCTTAAAACTGATCACCAAAAAATAAGATGAGCTAATCAGCCTTCTGTAGAACCATATCATATGTCCAACCTACATTCCTGAAGCTTCTAGCAAGCCAAGCCCTTCTAATGGTTCCCAGCTCCGCTCACTCCATCCTACCACTTCATTCTGCTCGCTAGCAAAATCCCTCTTTTTAATCAATGACTCTGATTTGTAGGGTTTTTTTAAGGCTTCTTTAAGATCAGTACTTTTTGTTGAAATAAACTGATTACTTTGCATTTACAGACAACCAGGAAGTTTTCATTTAGGTTAGACTACTGTATATAGTATTTGCTTAAAACAGGAAATAAAACATACTTCAAAAACTCACTCAATCTGACCTTCATTTTCTCATTTGAAAAACATTCAGAGTCAGCTTGCAACTACTGCTTTTCAGAAAAAGCAAATTTCTACATTAAGTTAAAACAATATACCTCAATTCCAAGCATAAGCTTAAACCTCATGGCTTTAGAACATTCTCATCTAAGCCAAAGACTGGAAATGACTTTATTAAATAAACCACTTTGATATGTTATGCTTTCTAAACAGAACAGGTTGGATGAAATGTTAGTATAATGCTTACAGCACAATTTAAGTCACCATTACCCAAATGAAACAATCAGGGGATTTGGAAACCAGCTTGCCTTCTTAGCTAGATTGGGTAAAACCCATTTGTCTTAAAAGTGCAATTATTTATAGATTCAAGCACATTTTTTCAAATGGTCAAGAAAGGAAAAAAATATTTAAGTAACCATCTCTGAGAATTGTTTTCTAATCTAAATAATGGGATAAGCCAATTTAACTCTTGCTCAACCTCTTCGATAATATATTTTCTTCTAAATAAGCAAGGACAGCTTAGACATTCATCTGGACTCAATTTTCCCTAACATGCATTTGCACTGGATTTGAAAATATATTGAGTTGAAGGTTCTGAGTTTTGAAAATTAAGTAAATGTGCACCCCTCTGAAAAATTACATGGATTATTAGATATAAATTTAACTAGATTTAAGTATTGAGTGGCAGATTCTAAAGGAAAGGAAAAGAGGATCAACATCTTGAATAGTGCATTATACAACAGAACAGAGAAAGCTTTTCAAAACTTTGAAACACAGGTTGGGATAGAAATGGCTACATCAAACAGTGTCAGTAGCAAGTACTAAAACAGAAGTCCAAGATACTTTAAAAATTAGATAGCAATTACTAACTTTGAAAAAACACCACATTCAAAACACAAAGTGGAGTCCGAAATTAAAACCAACTATTCCTGGCAAATCCTCAAAACTTGGTTATACGTGGGGATGCAAAATCCCATTAAATTGGTTCATCAGTTATCCTCAGGCAGGGGCTGCGGACAGAGGCTTTTCTGGGCCCATCACAGAGAGAACCTGCTCCATCCATAGCATGCCCCTCCACTCCATGGGGCTGGAACAGCCCCTGCCCATGGCAGTCGGGGAGCTACTCTAGACCCCACAGGTTAACCGGTTAAACATGCACATCGGTAATCACATATGGAACATATTTGCCATAAGATTTACTATTAAAATGCAGTCTAATTTAGACTATCACAGCTTCTGAAGTTTAGAGTTCTACTAAACCTCCCATCCCATAGGAATTAATAATTTGAGTTATATATGCCCAAAGCCAATTCTTACAAAATAAGTGGAGTAGAAATTTCAAAGTTGACTTGAATAGTTTCACAACTGTTATTAAAACTCTAATTTTTAAAATAGAAGTTGTGTTGCTAAATTCATATTGGCTTTCTATTTATATAGTGCCATTAAAATTCACTGCAATATAAAGAAAGCTATATGCATGAGTCATACTAATGGATGTAAAATATCTACATTCTGATATACCATGGTTAAAATTTACCAAATATAAATTTTTCCCCTTTATATTAACTCTTAGAAAATCTTAATATATTGTCACAGAAGGATAGTATCAAAAAGGAGGAAAATCTATTGCAGTCCTTGGAATCATTCAGTTGTATCCTTTATGCTTTCTTCTGATTTGCCACCTGCAAGTTTTCATCACAATTTTTGAAAGAAAAAAACCTAAATTATAAATACCAAAGACAAAAGATATGTGCATACATAAAGGAGTGAAATCATCCCAACTCCCTTCTATGATGTTTGACTTTTATGAATTAGTTACAATATTCATCTTTTTTGGATTAAGACTTAATATACAACATGGCATACTATTAGCTAGACATAAGTGCACTCTAATATTAGAAAGATAGAAAAGGGAAAGTATTCACAAGATACTGGAGTTTATGCCAGCTCTTCTCCCATGACTAAACATTGCTTGTCCTGAACCTCTAGCCATTAACATTTTGTCAGGAACTTCCACCTTCCCAGCAGAAATAATGTGCAACTCTCACTGTTTTATTTGCATATTTTAGCACTTTTTCCTATAAATGATCACGGGCAAAAAGATTTCATTTTTCCTTTTATTCACAAGATACTGGAGTTTATGCCAGCTCTTCTCCCATGACTAAACATTGCTTGTCCTGAACCTCTAGCCATTAACATTTTGTCAGGAACTTCCACCTTCCCAGCAGAAATAATGTGCAACTCTCACTGTTTTATTTGCATATTTTAGCACTTTTTCCTATAAATGATCACGGGCAAAAAGATTTCATTTTTCCTTTCTAAAAAAATCTCCAAGGGTACACTCCTAGTAGTTCTGGAAATTTTAAACACACACCCAAAAAGTCTTTAAAA